GCATTACAAGCCTACCTGAAAGCCATTGACGGGGTCGGCCACATACTCAACAGTCCTGCCGATGCCATTGGCCTCCCGGTAAGAGTAGGAGCCGCGGACTGTGCCGTCGCCATCGCCCGACTCTTGTCGTGTCCAATGAGTCCCGAATTCGTCGGTCGCTTCATAACCATAAGAGTACGGCTCAGGTCTCTCTTGAACGGCCAGCGCTCTAGCGATCGGTAGGCCATGGAGTTGAGCGGACACCACCACCAATGCTGACAGACATACCACTAACTGCAAGAAAATTAATTTACAAACAAATTATAACTTTTAGAAAATTAGTCATTCCTTGGAATTTAATTGAAAAAGTAATTATATATTAGTTTATAAAGTGAAATGAAATATAATATAAGTAAGATTCACCCGAATAAACATTTTCAATAGTATTTAATGTGTAATGAATACAGAAGTTTGCAAAAACACAACTGTCTTCAAGTGTCCATCACTTCATTGCTTTTATACTGATTTTGATATCAAACCACAGCTCTGTTATCATTACACATAAATCAGATCAAATAAATTGAACTCTTTTTTGTATGCCATTCAAAGGCATTCGGATTATTAAGATTTTATTTCTCCTTTAATTTCTATGCAATGAATCTAACTTTGATTCAAAAGAAGGAAAAATTGATATCAATTGAGTGCTATCTTTGACTCGATTTGGTATTTCAGATCTAACGGCAGGTACAGTATGTCTTCAAAATTCAATTTATTTCACTAATTTCTAACTTATCCCTAATTAATATGAATATCTATAAAATAACAGTAAACCAAACGTGTTATATTATTTAAGCTCTGAAATACTAAATTCTAAAAATTTAATATTTTTGTTATGAAATTTGTTATGTGCAATATTCAATTTATTATTTTTTCATTATCCTTATTATTATTTGAAATATAGAAATTAATATAATTAGTGCTATTTATTTATTTATATTTATTAATATGATATTCGATACTTTCTAATTCTTGGGAATAATTAATTATTGGGAATTTTTTATTGGTAATATTAAGCATTCAATATTACTGTGTATGAAATTTAAAAGCGTTGACAGATATGATGAAAAATATATGCTAAATATTTTATCATAATATTTAAAACAAGAAATATTATATTTAATAGAATTATGACATACAATATAATCTATGATAACAAAGGGTTAAATTTGTTTTATTAATGAGTTAGACATTGAAGAATTTAAACATTCCTTTCTTTCGATGCAATTTACAAAAATATGTCACATTTTTAAACATATTTAACATAAAATAAACCCTTTTTCATACTTCATAAAATATATTGTAATTTGAATAATCAGAAACACAAATATTTTTGTTTAACGTTATAATTCATTTTGAGGTTAATTATACTCATTGTTAATAATGAAAAACTGATTACAGATTCACTGATTTCTAAATGTAATTGTAAAATGCAATGAAAGTTTTGATTAACACGTCTTGAATCCCACATTCAATGAATAAATATAAAGGTGTCTATCGTATGAATTCTATTTTAATAATTAAATAACAATTTAATGAATAAATGTTTTCTAATATGATAAAATATTGCAACATTGAAACCCAGCTATGTTTCAATGTTTAGTCAATCTCTAAAAGTAAAAGTAAAATCTTTTTATGATAATTTTATTCAAATATTTTAGTAGTAATTTCATTTAAAGGAATATTTAATTTTTTGGTTAAACTATTAATAAATGTAAAGGACCATCAGTAAATAGAAAATAATTAATTAGTATATTATTCTACATATTCTGTTATTGTACTGTAAAACATTACTTAATTTAATGTAGCTTAATAAATGTAATTTAACAGTAAATAAAAAATAATTTTATTTTGGTTAATATATTGCTGCTACTATTTAAATTATACTCTTAATAATGAACCAGATTAGTTATACATTAATTTTTTGTCTACAAGTTAAGATTCATAAACGATTCTTACAATATTTTAGTTTAATATTTGATACGATCATGATTTTGAGCTTTATAAAATATGTAGCTTCCTTTAACCCTCATTAGTGGTATTCTAATCCATAATCTTTAACAGCATTTTAATATCTTATCCTAATTGTCTATTAAACGACTGGATTACTTAAATATTTTAGTTTACCAAAGGTTTACATATGATATACGATTAAACTTCGTGATAAAACATCACCAAATATTAATTCAATTATTAAACATCAGATGAAACACTGAACAAGTTTAACATATTATATAATCATTATAATTTAAAGTTAAGTTAAACTTACTCACGGATTATCGATATTTGCAATATTATGTAAAATACAAAAAAATGGTTTCAATTTTGTTCAATTAGTAAATAATTTTTTAAATTTTATTTATTTCTGCAGCATTAAATTGTCTCATTTCTATTATTCTTATTATTGTGTAAAAATATTAATTGAGATTTAATTTTAACAATAAATTAATCATTTGCTTAAATATTAAAGGTAATTTCCATATAATTTATTAGTGAAATGCATACTCCTATTGATACGTGAGTGATATTTCTTCAATTAAATAATATATGATTAATTTGAACGCATATAATATGCCCCAAAGGTATTTCAAACTATGAGAAATCCTCAATAAAAATACAAAATGTTTAGTACTTTTTCAAAATGCGAAATACAGTGTCTGAATGGAAAGTAAAAAAACTGAATAAACTTCACAACTGAACCCAAAACGAGATTTTTGTTCACCTATTTTGTTAATATTTGGGTCGTCTTTAATTATGATTTCTCTCTCAATTTTATAGTCAAAACATGAGACACATGGAAGACATACGCGCCCTCATGAATAAAACATGTTTTAAATAGGATGACCAGTATTCGTAAACTTTCAGCTAGTAATTATTTATTATTGATCGTATTTTAAACAATTGCTCAAACAAATTCATTGTAATTCTATAGATTCATTTTTAAAAATAAAAGACTGAATAAGATTTATGTAATTTTAAATAAAATTCATAACAATTATTGATAAATTAATATTTATATAATTTTATTTAATTATTAATAAACTTTAAACAAACATTTCCTATACTGTACAGATATTTTTGAAAAATATAATTATCTATGTTTTAATCTAACAATATTAAATTATATATTAAATTATGTGTACAAGAATTTATTTGAATCCGTGTACCGGATGACAAGGCTGTCACCCAATTATGTTTTGCTAATTTTGCTTATTTTAGAAATTGTTTGGTTGAACACATCTATTAACCTAAAGACAAATATATGTAGAATTTGGTATATTTTGCATTAAACCCACAACTTATGCCTTACCTTCACCCCCATTAGGGATGAGCTGACAAACATTGCTTTTTATGTAATTAATTTCAATCGGGACGTAATGTCGCAAAAATTGTAAAAATAAAAATATTCTCTTATGAAAGTAAAAGTTATAAGAAAAATAGTGATCCAAATGTTAGTATAAAAGTGAGAAAAATAGGAAATATATCTTCATTTAGTGTCTACTTTATTATAAGTCAACTACAATATCATTAATTCTATCTTATATTAACCATGATCAAGGTATGTAATAGTAATATTGTAACTATAACTTATAATATTATAACTTAATAATTATAAATAAAATAACTTGATAAATAAGATTTAATATATAAATTAAATTCTAAAATATAAGTTATTTCAACAATTTTATTACAAAACCTTCAATAAAATTAAATTAAAAGTTTATTGTTTGAATTTTATAACTAATTTATAAGTAAATTAATTTTTGATTTGTATAAATATGCAAAACTGTTAGGCAATTGCATGCGTTTGTGTTTTTGTGGTCGTATGCTCGGCCCAACGACCCTATCCTTTAGGGGTGGCCCCACAGGCGGCACTTCTGGTCGATGAGGGACCGAAGCCCTACCAGTTTGGCTTCAATGCCGCAGGTATGATTTGTATAATCTAGGTAAACTACATTATTAATTTGTGTCTTAAAACCACATGTAGACGAATACGGCACTCAATGGAGTCGCCAAGAAGTAGCTGATGGTAGTGGTGCTGTCAAAGGCTCGTACTCTTACCGGGACGCGGCCGGCATATTCAGGACTGTGGAGTACGTTGCAGATGATGTCCACGGATTCCGTGCCAATGTCCAGAGCAATGAGCCGGGTCTGGTCAGCTCTGCGCCC